AATAATAATACAAATAATAATGTAATACAAAATGTAAATAAGAAGATCTTAACTAATTAAATATAAACATGTGTTCTTAAAATTATCCAATAAGATTAAATAATAATTTTAACTAATAATTAATATGAAATTCCATTATACAACAATATATTAGTTTAAATATTATTTATATATAATAATTAATTATCAATTTTAGCTAATAAAAATAAAAATAAATTTTTATAATAAATTTATTAATATTATATAATCTATTACAAAAATATTGATATACCAAAAAGTAAAAATAAAATCTTTTTAATTATAATTATAAAACTTATTTATTAAAAATTTATAATTTTTTATATTATTAAAAATATATTTTAATCTAATTTTTGGTATTATTTTTATTCTTTTATTCTTTTATTATTTTTTAATAAAATTTTAAATAAAACAAATCTTTTTGAATTTTTAATAGTTTTTCTATAAATTTGTATTAAGCAAGTATCTTAATATATATATAATAAATAAATATTTTAAATTTTAGCAAAATTAAATTATTAATTATTAAGAAATTAGATTTTAAAGTCTAAAAATTTGATTTTTTTATTATAAAAAATAACTATAAGTTATTATATAAGGAATATACAAGTAATTAACTAAATTACTTCTTAAAACTACTTATCTTGTTAAGCTAAAATATATACTATATTTATAAATAAATTATAAAATAAAATCACAGATTGAATTGAAATTCAAATAGAAATTTGAACTGGAATTTGAAATACTAATTACAAATATAATTGTTCAATATGATTATTTTGAATATTAATGTAATAAAATATAAAAATATATAAAATTTTGGATCAGTCTCAAAAATATTATTTCTCATTCAATATTAATTGAAATTAAACAAAAATTTGAGAGTATACACACAATTACATTTCAAACAATTCTACTTAGACACAAAATACAAGTGTTTTAGTAAAAATAAAAGTTATTAACGAAAAACTATTTTACGATTTTCGGATCAAACCCGATTCGAAATTATCAATTCGGGTTTATCTCAAACCCGACCTGACCCGACTCGAATAGAGCTTTAAGAAATATCAAATCACACCAAATTATATAAATTTATTTTAAAAACAATTTTATATAATATTTTGTAAATTAATATGCCAAACTCAATGAGAATCTGAAATTATTAGTTAAAAATTAGTATTATGGTTCAAACCATTTTATTATTCTCAGCAGTTTGTAACTGAAAATCATGTGATTAATGATTATAGAAAAAATTAATATCGCAAACCAAATCGGGATTTTCCGGTCCCCGATATAGACCCATAATCAAAGTTTTTGAGTAATAATCAAAATATAATCTTTCTTGGATAGAGAAGCTTGAAAACTATTACCCTCGAGTTTTTTCTGGTTCAGCCTTTAAAATCCTTCTTTTTCGATTCAACTTTTTTTCCTCCTTTAGAATTCGCTGAAAGAGAAAAAACTAATTTATCATTATTATTTACCATTACTACCTTCGCAAAAATAGATTGTCCAAGAGACAATTTTTAACCGGCACTTGGGTACAAGTTTTTTACTTTACGTACACAATACAGATATACCTACGCTTACAAATACTCTTACATCTTTTTTTGTTCGTAAGTAAATTGGAACTATTGATTGAAGAAATAGAGGGAGTAATTTAGAGTTAGCCTTTCTTTTATGTATAATAAGAAGACGAAGAACCATCAAAGAATATATTTTCAGACAATTATTGTATACACGCTACTAACGTTCTCATCTACTCCTCTTTTACATAATCGTAAAAAAGGTTAAATTGTTTTGATTTAAACAGAAGAATTAAAAACAAAGAACAAGAAAAGGCAAATGACACATAGAAATAATAGTGTTCCAAAATACGCATATTTCGATGAAGAAGTGGTACGACCTCCTGTACCATTGCCATCGTCACAACCACAACCTCCTCTGCAAAATGAGTATATAATGAGAGGGAGACCACCAATACCGCCTTCATCACCAGGGAACTATGATTATAGTAATAGTAATAGTAGATCACTTCAAAGAGGAGGAAGTGTTGGAGGTAGTGGAGGAGATTATTATAATCAAGGACATCTACCCCATCATCACAATTATCATCCAATACCAACACCATTAAATACAAATCAATTATCTTATGCTAACAACATACAACAAAGTCCCCGTGAGTATAACAATAATAGTAATGGTAATAATAGTAATAATAATAATAATAATAATAATAATAATAATAATAATAATAATAATAATAATAATAATAATAATAGTTCAATAAATCAATCATTAACGTCGATGCCTGAACCGTTTACAAATCATCCAACACAAATTTATCCTCTTGGTCATCGTAATAATCCCCCTCCCTTTGATAATTCTTATCAATCAAATATTTCTCCTGTTCTTCCTTCACCACCACCGCCTCAACAATATCAATCATCTCTATCACCATATCAAAATCATGCAACTTTACCGAGTAACCCCGGTTACTCGACCGCTACTTATTCAAATGCAAATCCCCATTTAACTCAGCCATATACTCGAACAAATGTACAGCAGGCACATTTACCTCCTCAACAACAATATTCAGCCGCACCACCACCGCCGTCTTCTCCTCAACATCATTCTCAATCACCGGTCAATGGACCTGTGCCGTCACGACCAGAAGTTTACCCTACATCACGACTCAATAATCATTCGCCTTCCTCATCATCATCACGACCGACGGCACCGGCACCAGCTCCTGCTCCAATAATAGTAGCTCCAACATATGGCGATAAAGAAAGTGGTGGTGGTCGTAAACATCATCACGACTACGACGACAACAATTTTGCAGATTGTTGTTCCGTATGCGGGTGCATCCGATGTACATGTACACTATTTGTAATAACAATAGCAATATTATTTCTAATAGGTGGTATCGCTTTATTCGCCTTTTCAAACACCTTACCCTCGAAATGTAACGGTTTATGTGATCCAAATTCAAATAATGGTACATTGCTCGGGAATGGAACATCACTCGTCAAAATTCAAGCACCAAGTCTATTATCATCACCGGGCAATGATACTGTCAATACCGCCATTAGTTCGGTCGATAACACTACTAGTGACGCGTCACAATCATGTAGTAATGTATGTAAGCAGGGAGTTTATAATGCATTACATTATTCCGGGATAACATTGTTGATTATCGGTGCATTGATGCTTACTTGTCAGGTGGGGAATATGTTGTGTCGTGTTGGAAGGAGTGGTGGTCGTGGTAGTGGATGTTGTTATTGTTGTTGAGATGATTCTTTCACATAGAAGTGTGAAAAAAGGTTGAGTTGTTGAAAGCGACAATGCAATTCCAAGGAAAAGATCATAGACATTTTTTCTCTTTCGAATTTTCCCTTTGCTTTTTTAATTTATTTTAATATGTAATTAAGAAAATATTTAACCAATCATTATCGTTTACAAATTTAGTGTTGCAGGCAACCTAACATACACAATATACATACAACCAAATACAATTATTTACATTATCTTTTTGAATTTTTCATTACTGATTCATTATTATAATTAAAAATCTGTAATTTAACGAAATAAAAATATAAATTCCAGCAATAATGGATAGATTGAAGGGAAATCTCGAGAATTAGAGAAAGTGTGCGTTTATGGGCTATCCAATGGATCCTACGCTAATACGTATTGTCGAGCAATAAAATGTTAGTATGTTATGGTTTCTTTACATCCTGGACCAATACAAAACCCTTTTCCGAAGACTCCTACGTTAATAAGTATTGTATGATCGAGCAAAGAAGTATGGTATGGTCGGAAAATCACGGGTGTTACAGATTTTATACAATACTCTATATTGAGCCAATAACGTAACTAGCTCAACCATACCATACTCGATAGTGTAACACCGTATTCTCCGAAGTAATTATGGCATACTTTATGCTTTTCTCACATCATACTTCTTTGCTTGATCCGACAATACGTGTTAGCGTAGGACCCCTATCCAATATAATTTGTCAACTATTAAAGTAAATGATTCAGACTCATAAGTGAATTCCATCAATGCTAATACTCGACGACAGATCGGGAATAAATGCTGCAAATGTCATTACAAGGAAAATTTGTTAAGACGAAATCATTCTAATATGCAACCGAATATAGGTTTACTATAGCCCCCTCCCCCACACATGTAAACATGTATGTACATATGTCAGTACCTAATTGTATATTATCCATATCGTTTTTTCTTAGCGTTAATTATCTCTCTATCTTGTTAACGTCTCACTTTCGAATCTAATACTTTTGTGAAGTCGGTAACTATACTGCTTAGAAATAAGGTTAATTCAATCACATGAATTTAGGTGATCGTTACTTGTAACCAATAGTGATATTTTTTTCTGTGTCTGCCTGCTTATCTTGGTTGGGTTTAAACCCAAAACAGACACAAAAGAATTGACAACAGAATCACGAAAAATCACGAATGTATACAAACTATCGCTATGGAAGAGATTTCTAGCCAAACATGATGCAATTTTAGCACGGATTTCCTACTTGATCAACATGAATCAAATAATTCGTTTCACAACATCTAATTAGGATTTATAATGGAGTATCCCTATTATCTCATACCTCGTGATCTTTCATACTTATAAAAAAACGAATTTATTTTGTTCATTGTTCTATAAAAATAACATCAAACTAAATAAATGTCACTAATAACTCGAAGCATGAAAGCTGAGACTGACCTCAACATCTTACTGAAAACAATAGCAGCAACTGAATTAGCCGAGTCTGAGAAACCAAAGTCAAAAGAAACAGTACCAACAAATGAATCGGCTCCCCTTATTCTAACAAAACCTATTACTACAATTTCACATTCTTCAAGCAATAACAAAGTTGTCCCTCAAAGGAATTTCTGTTATATTCACCGTACTGAAATGGTGCAAAAAAAACTGGCAAATGAATCACAAGTCGATGAATTACAAAAGGTAAAAATTAATTTCTATCAAAAGGTTTATTTATTAAATAAACTCAATTTTTTTTTAATTTACAAAAATTCAAATAAAAAAGCAAATGGAACAACTTTCACTATCAGACCAAGAACCCATCAAACACATATGGTCACTATTTTCTGCTGCACCAGCACAAAATCGGTGTCTAATTCTACAAGGAATCCTGAAAGAATGCTGTCTCCCGCAGCTTTCGTTTCTTTCAAACAGTCTAAGAGATTTGATTCGTATCGATTTTCTCGATGCACTGCCTAGTGAATTATCCTATAAGATTTTGTCGTTTCTTGATGCGATTTCGCTGTGTCATGCTGCGCAGGTTTCAAAGACTTGGAAGTGCTTGGCGGATGATGATGTCGTTTGGCAAAAAATGTGTGAGCAACATATCGATAAAAAGTGTACGAAGTGTGGATGGGGTCTTCCATTACTGGAACGAAAGCGAAAATCTCGGAATAAGCGGCCATGTGCTTCAATTAGGAATAGTTGTACTGACTTATTACCATATAATCATAATCATCAAACTAGATTATCACTTCAGGGACATTTGAATGACACTTCATCACCAGCTTTTTCACCATCATCATCACCAAACTCTTCACCATCTACATCAGTCCCGAATTCCCCGGAACACTTTCCACACAACGAAAAACGTGAATCTAAGCGTCTTCGTATTTCGGAGACAAAATCTGCTGCGTTGTTTCCTCCGCTAGACAAGCCGCGTTCTTTAACAGAACCAAAACAAACACGGCCTTGGAAAGATGTCTATTCTGAACGTCTTGTCGTTGAACGAAATTGGCGAAAAGGTCGTTTTACATGTCGCACATTAAAATCTCATACGGATTATATAATGTGTTTGCAGTTTGACGATAGCAATACCCTTATCACGGGGTCATATGACTCCACGGTAAGAGTTTGGAATATTGAAACTGGCGAAATGGTTCGCGTTCTTTCGGGGCATCGCCGATGTGTTCGCGCTTTACAATTTGATGATGCTAAATTAATTACGTGTTCAATGGACCGTACCCTGAAGCTATGGAATTATCATACTGGACAATTGGTTCGAACCCTGGAAGGACACACCTCTGGTATTAATTGTCTGCAATTTGATGATCATATTCTGGTTAGTGGATCGGTGGATGCGGTGATAAAAGTTTGGAATGTCCAAACGGGAGAATGCTTCACATTGACTGGCCATTGTGAAATGATCAATAAAGTAGCAATTTATCAACAGACTTTGTTATTTTCATGTTCCGATGATACGACAATACGTGTTTGGAACCTGAAAACACGATCATGTATAAGCAAACTTGAAGGCCACGTCGCTCAAGTTCAATGCATTTTACCTGCATTACCATCTCTCTTTTCCAGCATCTTAGCAAACACCAACGAAGAATGTCTTGAAGACTGGCTAAATCACGAAGATGAATCCGATAATAATAATATTCATCATCACGATCACAATAGTCTACCGATTCTAGTATCAGCCTCGTTGGATAACACTATAAAAATTTGGTCAACGAAAACTGGCCAGTGTCTTCGTACACTTTTTGGACACGTGGAAGGAATATGGGGATTGGCATTGGATAAATTACGGATGGTCAGTGTGGCACAAGATAAAACGGTCAAAGTCTGGGATATAGATACCGGAAAATGTTTACATACTCTTTACGGGCATAATGCGCCTGTTTATTGTGTTGCATTGGGAGATACTAAAATTATTACGGCTGGCGAAGATATGGAAATTAGAATATGGGATTTTGGAACTTAGATATTCTTTGCGATTTATTGTTTGATTCACAGTTTTAATCATTTTCTATTAGAATTAGACTGGGTTATTTGTTTAATATCCTTCATCAAAAATGTACATTGATAAATTCTTTAATTTTTGTGAAATAGTGAGATAATTAGTGAGTTAATTAGTGAGCATCTTATTCCCCAGTTTTTTGTTTCTTTGTATATATAACATTTTTTCTCTTTAATAATATATAATGTTATATTGAAATATATCGTATTATATATTATATTAATACTAATAAATAGTTAGCCAACTACTGAATAGAAATATTAAAATATCAAAAGCATGCTAACCGAAAATAGATATGTAGGTACATAGGCTAAGAATTTGATTTTTGACTTAATTTCTTAACAAAAACAGTGTGAATGAATCTCTTAGTTTGTAAATCTAAATCAAAAGTTGTTGAAACAAGTAATTCTTGAAGTATGAAAAGTAGAAATTCTGTTTTCTGAATTTTGAATTATATCAAATTGATCAAATTGAAATTAAAATAACTTTGTAAAAAATGAATATTTTCATAGTTTTATTCTTTGATCTATTGGTTATTAAACTATGAAAAGTTTTAACAAATATATATAATATTATTTTAGTTATTATTTTTTAAAAACTATCAGTGACTAGATGTCCTGCACTATAGTTAAAGAAATAGATTAACATCGTAATTGTATTGGCTTAATTGCAATTTTTACTAACAATTTTCATTATTATAACTAAAGATGAATTCCAAAACTGTTTTTATTTACACTTATTTTTAGGTACAGTCAATCCTCTTTATAGTCACACTGTTGTAATTTTTTCATGAATGTGAAAAATGGGTGACTAGTGGGGTTTTTATATGATGTAACTATAGAGAGGGTTACTATAGAGGGGCTTGACTGTATCTTATTCACCACGAGCTTGTTTTCTTGTGTTGGATTCAAAAATTTGCGCATCTTTGTTGGGTCATTATACCACTTTTAAAATCCTTGCAATATGTCTAAGGCTTCGGAAAACAACCCAAAAGAACTGAGAGAGTCGAACTGGTCGTTTATCAATTGGGTTGCACGGTCCGAGTGGATTGCGAAAGGAAAGCCTTACGAAGAGCACGAAGAAGTGTTAACGTTTTTGAACCAAGAGAAACGTGAAAATGGCTTACTACTTGATTTACATGTATATGTTTGATCAATAAAGCCGAAATTATATTTTTT